TAATAATAGTAAAAAATAATCATAGTCAAAAACAATAATACCATATTACAATAATCATAGGGGAAAACGATAATTCAAATATAATACTAAAAACAATAATACAATTACAATAATCATAGTCAAAAATAATAATACATAATTTACAAATGAATTTACTCGTCTGAAAGAGGTCTGATGTCGTTAGGTAACCTAACCTAACCTAACCTAACCTAACCTAACCTAACCTCCGAGACCCCTCAATAATTCTCCCTTCTTCTTCATACTCCATGTCCATTGAACCTTGGCAAATATATGATGCTGACTTTCTTAAATAATTATGTAGAAAACAACAAGCTAACACAATTTTTTTAGCTTTATCAGTATCTACTTGTATTGGTCTTTGGAACACACACCAAAACGCAAATTCAAAATTCCAAAAGCGTTTTCAACAATTCGTCTTGCCCGACTTAGACGATAATTAAAAATTCTCTGTTCCTTGGTCAAATTGGTTTGACTATAAGGCTTAAGTAAATTTTCACTCATAGCAAATGCTTCATCTGCTACAAACAAAAACGGGAGTGTATAATTTGTATTAGTCAATAAATCTGGTTTTGGAATATTTAATGTTTTATTATTTAACATATTTCCAAATTTAGTATAACTAATAACACCCCCATCTGATATGCGACCGTTTATGCCAACATCAACCATCATAAATTTGTAATCTGCATCAACTAAAGCCATTAGCACTATACTAAACTTATTTTTATAATTAAAATAAAATGATCCGCTGTTTGGAGGTTTTCTTATTTCAACATGTTTTCCGTCCAGTTCCACGCAATGTGGAAAATTCCATTTTTGTTCGAAATCTTTTGCTATTTGCACCCATTCTGCTTCCGTTTTTGGAATCTTTAAACAAAAAAGGTATTAATTATTTTTTTTTTTTATTTAGGAAACTGAAAAATTGTTTACAATTCCAAAAGTAAAAAGAAAACATCAAAAGCATCAGTCGCCACAAGAAGAACTCGTAGGATTAGCTTATAAGCGTTTACGTCAGACGGAAGATAGTGATGAAATGAAAATAGCTATTGCTTGGGCATCGGAACTTCAAAAAATCAATGCCCAACAACAAATTTTTGCAAAAAAGGCTATCAACGACATTTTATTTGAAGGCCAAATGGGTACTTTACATCGAAATGCTATTCAAATAGTACCAGCTTCAACTAGATCATCAACCCCGTTCTATAGTAATACTCCAACACCCTACAGTCTTTATTCTTCAACAAATAGTGGCCCCCCTTCTATTGAAACAAATGACATGCCATGTACTTATTAGACATTGACTATTGATACAATTGAGAATACAGCCTCTCCACAGCTTCAGATTTTTTTCAAACATTTCAATAATATAAATTTAAAGTTTGTTAAATAAAGTTTAATAATATAAAATAAATGTATGTTTTTTATATTAAAAATGTCAATTGAATAAATTTAGTTTGTTAAATAAAGTTTAATAATATAAAATAAATGTATGTTTTCTTACCTTAATATATGTTTTCAAACTAGTAATAATAGCTTGACAAGTTTCTAGTACAATACTACTGATGGACTGTGGTGAAATTGCACTCAAAAATGTCAGGTCTTCGAATGTATTACCAGTGGCAAGGTACTGTAATGTTATAGATCAGAGGTTCCCAAACTTCTTATTGTGCGACCCATTTTGAATTTTTTTTAAAATATAGCGACCCACAATATCAATGAATGACCTTTTTTTTTTTTACCATACAACAGAAAATTAAACTATTTTATTACATTTTATGTAATTACGAAAAAAATGTATAATAAGTATAATATATAGTATTTGACACGGCCGCTGGTAAACTCGTAATTGTCATACTCACAGATAAGGATTGACGATAAAACTGAATTTGAACTTTGAACATCAACGAAAAGTAATAGATGATTATATTTTTGTATTATTTAAAAAAATAGTGCGACCCACCAAAAGTATAATCGCGACCCACTTTTGGGTCGCGACCCACAGTTTGGGAACCTCTGTTATAGATAGTCTCTCATTGACAAAAATAGCTTCCCTCATTATTGTATTCTGCTTTTGGATATGTGGAGTTACAATCTATAATGGATAATACAATTATTTTACAGTAAAGTAAATTATACTTACAAAATATGGGTAATTCCACGTACTTTCAATAAATTCTCATAAGATGTAGCATCCATTCGTAAACAATTCCTATAATCATCTGGTTCAGTCATTCGTAGGCAGTTCAATAAATTTTCATGACTATATTGTGCTCTCTGTTTATACCACTCTTTCATCCAACGTCTTCTTTTATTTTGTTTGGGTTTTTTTTGGTTCAATCCAAATGCTACTGCGATGCAAATTAATTCGGTATCGTTAAGATACATATTTAAAACTATAATAATATAGTTATAATATAATTTATAGCAGATGGTAAATTATGCCTTTCAACTGACACAGCGTAAACAACACAAGCGATCATACACAGCGGTACTACACCTGACCTGGCCAACAAATTCAACTGAATATTGTGCAATTATATTGAGAGGTTTGGGTGAAATTAATATTGAACAAAATATTGACACAATTTTATTGACTCAATATTATTGAACGTGTAGGGGCCGCTTAACTTCGTTCGGCTGACGAATGTCAAGCAGGCCGAACGATTATTATAAATTTTGTTTACTATACAAAATAGTTATACATATATATATTTATAGCTTTACTCCGTGATATTACAGAATGGATAAAAGATGACACGCGCATCCATGATATATATATAGTATGTAATACTATGCGTAATATTATAATTATAAAAATATGAAAACTGTAATGGTGTTTCACACCATTACAATAGGATATTATAATGCACGACTAAAATAGTGTGAACTGTGAATAATGTAAAATCAACTAATGATAATCGATAATCTAAGATTATCTGGCTAGATTGGCTATATATCTGGCTTCTGGTTGTTTCTTCGAACTGCAATAATTATTATTTATATAATTATATCACTGTCTACCGATAACGGCGACGCGTCGTCGCCGTACCGGTTACAGATGTTTTGGCAGTGGAGAGGGGGTTTTAGTTTAACGACCGAACGCTAGCATCGGGAACAGCGCTCAAATCAATGACGAATATTTGTATTTACCATAAAACATTGTTAAAAACTGTTTTACGCGAACATAAAATACACTGGCTATATTCATAATAAATTCATGAAATTTTCACCATGTATTGGGGAGAATTTTATCTGTGATGCAGTGTTTTTATTTTTTTCATATTTTGACTCAATGTAGTCTTATACGCTTTTTTAAAACATATAATATCATATATATTTGAGCTTTAATAACTCCTTTCCTAATTATTTTAATAAAAAAATAAAAAAGCTACGTCATAGAAATAGTTGTCTTCTTTATTGTGTAAAATTTTGAATCCCTAGGGTGTATATAGCTCTGATAAAACGTGTGTAGCGTCCTCTCCTTCTCTATCTGATTATAAGAACTATCTTCGCATGGACCACTTAACATTTTCAAATTTATTAAAGATGGTTACAACGATGATAGAGAAACAGGATACCGGTATGAGAGAACCAATTTCATCGGCCCAACGTTTATCGTGTACGCTACGATATCTGGTGTAGCGAGCTGTGACTTTGTTAAAATATTATAAATAACCTGGACAAGAACTCTATATATATAATAGTTGAGTAAGGCCTACAAAGCATCTATTTCGTGACTTTGTTAAAATATTATAAATAACCTGGACAAGAACTCTATATATATAATAGTTGAGTAAGGCCTACAAAGCATCTATTTCGCGTGACCTCGAAATGTATATGTTCATAGATATATAACTACTCATATGAATATTATTAAAA